GAGCAGCAGCTCTGGCAGCCCAGCTATCCCGTGAATGAGGGCATTAAAACAAAATGTAAAATTGTCTCGGAATTGTACCTTAACCCTCGGGGCCAGCACAACAGAGATTGTTTGCTTAGTAACCTGGTTCTCCCGTAACAATCTGGCAGTGCTCAGAAAGCTTCCTTTGGGCCCTGCTAAGGATTCTGGGAAAGAGGTGGTCCTTATGACTGAGTCGAAGTGGACTCCCCTGTGGGCTCCCCCCGACTGACCTTGGAGAGGGGCAGGACGAGGAAGGCGCCCCCCCCGCTGGACTCCACGATGATGGCCAGGAACTTGGGGTTCACGGCGCAGAACGAGCTGTCCCACGTCACCTTGGACACGCGGATATCCTCGTACATCTGGTCGGCTTTGACCGCCTGTCCAAACACATGGCGGAACTTGCTCTGTCGGACGACCCTGCGGCTCATGGCTGCTCAGAGGGACAGAGGGACACACTGCCATCAGTCACCCCCGAGAGACACAGGAGCCCACAGTTCCCACCATGTGCCTTTCATGAAGTCCACGGGGCTGGTATACGTCAAGCAAGCCTTTTCTGCATTAATGAATTAAAACACAATGATAAACAGAAAAGAGCCCTGAATATATCGGTGTCGAACAAAAAATAATTGAGTTATATTACATATATTTTTGAGTACATAACGCTTAGAGTTATTTACACCCTGTAAATAAGGTGAAAGCAAATGCTGAAAACAATCTTCTGATGTTTCTTTCGTCATCTGGAAGAATCACAGAGCCTATGAGGGGTTGGACTGCTGTTGAAAGTCTCCTCTATTGGCACTGGGTATTAAAGGAAGATAATTGCTCTACTAAACACAGCTCATCAGGGGACAAAGCCAGGGAACTGTCTGGAGGTCTAAGGCAAAAGCTCTCCAACAACTCTGTTAACAGCTATAAAACCCAGAAGACACTCAGTTTCGACTGTGGTGTCCAGTATCTGGAAGATCAAGGCAAATGGGTTGATTGCTACTCTACCAACAAGACTGCAGAACATTTTCTAAGTATGTTATTGGGCAGATGTCCTGTGTTCACATAACAATTTGAAAGTTATACAAAATTTTAATATTTGGTTTGCTTGCACACATGAATCTTCATGCAAACCCATTTGTAGGTAAAGTTCTTTAAGTGCATGATTAAATTTAGAGGCTAGTGTAGTCCATACGCAGTCTTGAGCATATACAGCATGTACACACAGTATAAGATGAAAACAGACATCTCCAGGTACACAGAGTGCCATATTCTACAATTCAGAACAAGGCAACAAAACCTGTGATGCGGCCCTATTACACTGTAAACGAGCAGGCTTGCGAAAACATCTCTTAATCCAGTAGAAATACTGCTCTCGACTACAAGACGGTTTTGCCATCAGAGGCTGTTCTCCAAACTAAGACCTGTCCCTCCCTCTTGTTTGCCCAGACTGAGCTCTTATGGGCTGAACCCAACAGAAAAATTAGAGAGATGATCTCAAAGTAGGAAAGGAATCTGCGATACCTCCGCAGAGACATATCAGAGCTCCACTTTCCCTGTTCTCTGACTGACCATGACTGTGATGTGACAAGCAAGGTTAAACACAGGGCACAAACGAGAGGAGACAAGTCAGCCCATCCAGTTCATTTGGTTGCCAGCAGCTAGTGGATCTGACATTCTCGCCTGGACGTTTCTCGAAAGAAGCCAGAGCGTCAGCTTCAACAACATGGCTGGGCTTCATGTTCCACACTCCCACAACTCTCTGTGTAAAGAGGTTTTTTGATAAGCTTCTTGTTCTCAGTTCTAAAACCAGAGGGCACGAGTGTCTTGTGTTTCAGTAGTGGTTGTGTGTTTGACACCCGTCTCCTGTTCGAGACTAAAAAGATTCAGTCCCTTTAGCTGCCCAGTCTGGGACACTGCTTTGATCCTGGGAAAGCGAGGATGGAAATGCAAAGAAAGATGTGAGCACGGGACAGGCATGCAGGCTCGCCTGGTGAGAACACCCTGCCACCGAGCTGCAGGCCAGTGAGTGGACACGCTCTGTCCTGCCGGCGGGGATGTTGGAACAGCAATCTGGAACCTTCCATCCTGCAACCAGCAGGAGTGGCACAAACCCCGTCGAGATCATCTGCTGACCCAACCAGGGCCGCCGTGCTCACGGGTGGATACACCAGCCCTGACCACTGTCTCCAGCCCACCTCACCAGCCCTGACCACTGTCTCCAGCCCACCTCACCAGCCCTGACCACAGGCTCCAGCCCACCTCACCAGCCCTGACCAC